GCGGCCTAGAGAGGTGGAGATGGGTTCAAGATATGTGGCAGTGAAATCAGTCGGCTTAGCCATCAACTAGACTGGCTTGAGGAGAGGAAATGGGAGGTCTGATGTCACGTGGAGGGGTCTGGTTTACAGAGCTGGATGACTGAGGAGTGTGGTCCCTGAGGAGCAGAGGAGGATAGTGAACCAAGACTGGAGTTGGGGAAGCAGAGGGGAATCCGGATACCAGCCACAGTACCAAATTTGGTGGAAATTTTTAAAAAGACTTCAAAAACTCATTTAATTTAAGGTTTTTCAATATTTTATTATGGCACACAGGGAGAGTATGGGACAATGGATTTACTTCGACCAAGTGTTTCTCAAACCAACCAGCAGTTTCCATTTGGTTAGTTGTTTTGCATGTAGTTTGCACCTGTCTGAGAATTACCTCATGCATCATTCCACAGCATCAGTGTGAAGAGCTTGGTTTCTGAGGAGACTCCTAATCTTTACCCATGCTGAAGTGCAGAGATCCTCCTTGGTCCCATCCATATCATGGTAGATAAAGAAATATTTTACCTATTTGCTTAGTCACATATGTTTGACTAGATACAGTGCAAAGAGATCAAATAACGTTAAATGTAGACCACTTTGGTTTCAAGTGAAATCCATAAAGTTTAAAGGCCTAAAAAAACAGATATTGAACAAAATTGGCTGACAAAGCAATTGCTCAAAAACAGAAGCAGAGCAGCAAATAGTCAATAATTTCATTTCTATTCCACACCAAATGCAAGCGCAAGAGCCTTCATAACATCATGGTGCATGTGGATAGATGGGGTGTACATTTGATGAAACATCCAACCAGGTAAAGTATCACTGGAATCCAAGTATTTCCCAATTAAGACATGCAGAACAACTCAATGTAACACACAGGTATATTATCTCCCCCCTAAGTGACTGATAATTTCATTACTGATGTCTGTAGTTTTTAAAGGGTTAAAATTGTGTGGCATTAAATGCTGCCTATTTGAGGCAATAGGAGGAAGCTAACAACACACTGAATCATGAGCTCAGGATTTCAGGCAACATGTTTCCAGTGGCAAGTGACCTTTGGTATTCTTTCTTCTCCCTAAATTACATGCTAATATAAAAAAAAAAAATTCCTCTTATCTATATCACATGCTCAGGCTTCAACTTCTGACCATGTTAATTAGACTAAAAATGTTAATAATGATGAATATGTAGAATTTCTATAATACCCATATTGTGTTATTACATACTAGCTTACAGTAAAAGATATACTTGTCACATAATTTCAGAATTGTCTCCTAGAAAGCCATTCTTCACATAATATAGTACACCTATGGGGGCAAAGTATATCGTTACTTATGGACTCTCTTACTTACTCATGTTCATTACCAATAAAATTTTTGAAGGAAGAGATTTTATGAATAGTCATGACCTAATTATAACATTAAGAATTTCCAATTAAAGAAGAAAAAAAATTTTAGTTGTTAAAATTTTGATTTTACCAAAGAAATTGTAGCTCAATAGTCCACTTGTTTCTGGTTTATATTGGTGCCATCTTTAAG